TTGTTGTTTTCAAGCAAACGTGAATGACGAAATAAGCTGCATTTTCTAATTTTACATTTTAAATGTTATGGGGTGCATACCGGCACGGAGTGTTTGGAGTGGTCGCAAGATGGCGACCAGTGACGACGTGGCGGCGTCATTTTCTCGCTGACAGAGGATTGGCTAGCCGCTATTCAGATATTATACAGAGGACAATAATGTAATTTATATACTTCATAATACTCTACTATGAGCTACGAAGGACGGCAGCGCGATATCGCGCCATGCACTACGATTGTTTTAGACAATGTGATACTGTCATGCTATATGATTTGATGCGAGTCCTGGTTTTCTGTATGCGCCCTGCATAGATGCGTGTATCACGCACTCGGTTTTGAGTGTGTCTATTCAGTGAACTGCGGGCAGTAAACTTGCATCCACACTTGTCACGCGCCTACAGTTTCTCTCCCGTGTGAGTGCGCATGTGTGTCTTGAGATTAAAGGAGCTCCTACACTGTATTCACATATATCGCAGGCATACGGCTTCTCTCCCTTGTAAATGTGCATGTGTTTCTTGAGATAACTGGAGGTCCTACACTTGTATTCACATCTCTAACATGCAAACGGTTTCTCTCCTGTGTGAGTGCACGTGTTGCTTAAGATTTTTGAAGCTCGTATATCTGTGTTCACATATATCACACACGTACGGCTATTCCCGTGTGAGTGTGCATGTGTTTCTTGAGATGACCGGAGGTACTACACCTGTATTCACATATATCGCACGCATACGGCTTCTCACCAGTGTGAGTGCGCATGTGTCTCTTGAGATCACCGGAGGCCGTACACTTGTATTCACATCTCTCACATGCATACGGCTTCTCTCCCGTGTGAGTGCGCATGTGTTTCTTGAGATTAAAGGAGCTCCTACACCTGTATTCACATACATCACACACATACGGCTTCTCTCCCGTGTGAGTGTGCATGTGTTTCTTTAGATCACTGAAGGTCTTACCCTTGTATTCACATTTGTCACATGGAAATGGTCTCTCTACCATGTGACTGTGCATGTGTCGCGTGAGGTCACTGGATATTATACACATATAGTATATAAACTGCCAATGTATTTATCAAAGCGTGTGTGTATTTCACTGTGTACTTGCCAAACAAATGGTTAATGTGTTACGTGTAAGCATGATTGTAGGCCTACATGTATTTCTATTGACATCTCAACCATAAAAAAACATGTGAACAACTAAACTCTCTATATAACACCTTACACATAACACTACTGGTAACACATGCATCACAGTCACTAAGCCCGCGCTTAGCGTCGGTTCCAGCTAGTAATAATAATAATAATTTTTGAGGGGGCAAGTGCCCCCGCCCCCCCGGTTCCGCCGCACTTGATCTCCAACTATGACCCTGCCATAAGATACTTGTCTTGCTTTTCTTCCTATTCTCACATTAAGTCTACACGTGAGACGATGTGTAGGCCTACTGCTTTCATCGACCATACATAGTTAGTGGATACGCCCGATATTATAGTTGAGGATGGATGGATGGATAGATGGGTGGATGAATGGATGGATGGATGGATGGATGAATAGATAAATAGATGGATCGACGAATTAATGGATGCATGGGTGGATGGATGAATGGATGGATGGGTGGACGAATGCATGGCTGGATGGATGGATGAATGAATAGATGGATTGATGGGTGGATGAATGGATGGAGGGATGAATAGATGGATGGATAGATGGATAGATGGAAGGATGGGTGGATGGATAGATGGATGGATGGATAGATAGATGGATGGATGGATGGATGGATGGATGGATAGATGGGTGGATGAATGGATGGATGGATGGATGAATAGATAGATAGATGGATGGGAGGATAGATGGATGGATGAATGGATGGATAGATGGATGGATGGATGGGCAGATGAATCGATGGATGGATAGACGGATGGATTGATGGACAGATTGATGGATGCATGGATTGATGGATGGATGAATGGATGGATGGATGAATGGACTGATGGATGGATGGATGGATGGATAGATGGATGAATAGATGTATCGTCAACTTCCAGATTTGCGTGACCTCCGCTGCTTCCTCAAAGTCAATTTCCTGTGGCATGTTACGTGTGTCATGTGCCTATTATGTGTTCATGTGAGAATCAGTATACATGGTAATCTTAATCGAGGTGCTGCTGCCATGGTAACGATAAATTACGATGTACTGTTTATCTGCATTCACAGTTGTGACGTTTGTCAATGTGTTAGAGTACCGCTAAAGATCTATGCACACACACACGCACACGCACGCACACACACTCACACGTGCACACACGCAACACGCGCCCATATAAAACACACAATCTATACGTACATGCCAACATGTGACGTTTGTATTTATGACAAACCTAAACGAAAGTGAAATGACAATTTCGAAAAATGCTCCAAAAAATCGTTACACAGCCTATACATGCAATATTATTGACGTGTTATGAAGAAACGAATACAACATACGTACATAGATATGATCACGCCACAGGCGTTATTGTAAGTATATCTGAATATCTACATACCACGTTACGATGCAGAAACGATATGGTATATATATGTTCAAGCATAACAATGGTAATCATGTATTTAATATGCCGTCATGTCTTCCACCGATTTCTATACACCAACTGGATAGTTGTTAGTCGCCACTAGGTGTCACCACCGGACACCATGACAGCACTCATCGAAGTAGTAGTATCGTAGAATAGGCCAACAGGCTGAGCTGAGTTTTCATGTGCCTCGTGACGTCATGTTGAAAACCTCTACGTATAGACTATCATAGCTGTTTGTGTCTCTCTCATTGTATCCATCCGTCCGTCTGTCTGTCTGTCCATACATATATATATATATATACACATATATATATAAACTGCCATGTATTTATCAAAGCTTGTTGTTTTCAAGCAAACGTGAATGACGAAATAAGCTGCATTTTCTAATTTTACATTTTAAATGTTATGGGGTGCATACCGGCACGGAGTGTTTGGAGTGGTCGCAAGATGGCGACCGCTGACGACGTGCGGCGTCTTTTCTCGCTGACAGAGGATTGGCTAAGCCGCTATCCAGATATTATACAGAGGACATAATGTAATTATTTACTTCATAATACTCTACTATGAGCTACGAAGGACGCGAGCGCGATATCGCGCCATGCATACGATTGTTTTAGACAATGTGATACTGTCATGCTATATGATTTGTGCGAGTCCTGGTTTTCTGTATGCGCCTGCATAGATGCGTGTATCAGCGCACTCGGTTTGAGTGTGTCTATTCAGTGAACTGCGGGCAGTAAACTTGCATCCACACTTGTCACGCGCCTACAGTTTTCTCTCCGTTGAAGTTGCGCATTGTGTCTTGAGATTAAAGGAGCTCCTACACTGTATTCACTATATCGCAGGCATACGGCTTCTCTCCCTTGTAAATGTGCATGTGTTTCTTGAGATAACTGGAGGTCTACACTTGTATTCACATCTCTAACATGCAAAGTTTCTCTCCTGCTGTGAGATGCACGTGTTGCTTAAGATTTTTTGAAGCTCGTATATCCGTGTGTTCACATATATCACACACGTACGGCTATTCCGTGTGAGTGTGCATGTGTTTTCTTGAGATGACGCGAGGCTACTACACCTGTATTCACATATATCGCACGCATACGGCTTCTCACCAGTGTGAGTGCGCATGTGTCTCTTAGAATCCGGAGCCGTACACTTGTATTCACATCTCTCACATGCTACGGCTCTCTCCGTGTGAGTGGCATGGTGTTCTTGAGATTAAAGGAGCTCCTACACCTGTATTCACATACATCACACACATACGGCTTCTCTCCCTGTGTGAGTGTGCATAGTGTTTCTTTAGATCACTGAAGGTCTTTCCCTTGTATTTCACATTTGTCACATGGAAATGGTCTCTCTACCATGTGGACTGTGCCAGTGTGCGCGTGAGGTCACTGGACGACTTATATTGCATTCATATATCGCACGCCATGTGGCCTCTCTCCTGTGTGAGTGCGCTTGTGGCCACCTTCAGAATATCGAGGGCGTTATTATCTGTGTTGACATATATCGCACGCATACGGCTTCTCTCCCGTGTGAGTGTGCATGTGTTTCTTGAGATTCACGAGAGGTCTTACCTTGTATTCACATTTGTCACATAGGAATGGTCTCTCTTCCATGTGACTGCCGCATGTGTCGGTGATGTTCACTAGACGACTTATATCTACACTACATATATATCGCACGCATATGGCCTCTCTCCGCTGTGGTGGCGGGTGAACCTTCAGAATATAGGGAGGTAGGTACATTCTGTGTTCAACAGTATATTTGACGCATATGGCTTCGTCTCCCGTTGTGAGTGCGCAATGCGTGATCTGTCTTGAGATAAAAGGACTGGTCCTACACCTGTATTGCACATGTGTCGCACGCATACGGGCTTCTCGTCCTGTGGTGAGTCGTGCATGTGTTCTGATGATCAGCTGAACGTCCTTACCTTGTGATTCCATTTCGTCAGCATGAAAATGCTCTCTCCATGTGACTGTGTCATGTGTCGCGTGAGGTCACTGGCACGACTTATATCTACATTCACATATATCGCACGCATGATGGTCTCTCTTCCCGTGTGAGTGCGCATTGTGCACCTTCATGACTATCGAGTGTAGTATATCTGTGTTCATATCATATCGCACGCTTGGCTACTCTCCCGTGTGAGTGCGCTGTGTGGCACCTTCTAGAATTAGGGGGTATTACATCTGTGTTTCACAATATATTGGCACGCATACGGCTTTTCCCGTGTGAGTGCGCATGTGTTGTCTTGAGATTAGGGGGTCCTACACCTGTATTCACTATATCGCACGCATCCGGTTCCTCACCCGTGTGAGTGGCGGCATGTGTTTTGATTCCATGATAGTCGTACCGTTGTATTACATTTGTCACATGGAATGGCTCTCCTACCATGTGACTGATGCTATGTGTCGCGTGAAGGCTCACTGGATGACTTATATCTGCATTCACATAATTCGCACGCTTATGGCCTCTCGGTTCCGTGGTTCGAGTGCGCTTGTGCACCCTTCAGGCACTATCGAGGGTAGTATATCTGTTGTTCACTATATCGCACGCATATTGGTCTTTCTTCCCGTGTTTGAGTTGCGCATGTGCACTTGAGACTTAACGGTTACGCTACTACAACCTGTAATTCATGTGTCACACGCATATGGCTCTCACCAGTGGTGAGGTGCGCGCATGTGTTCGTTTGAGAATCATCGGAGGCCCGTACACTTGTTTCACATCTCTCACATGCAAACGGTTTCTCTCCCGTGTGAGCGCGCATGTGTTTCTTAAGCATATCCGACCTAGAACACCTATATTCACATCTCTCACATGCAAACGGTTTCTCTCCCGTGTGTGTGCGCTTGTGTTTCTTAAGAGTATCGAAGCTCGTATATCTATGTTCACATGTATCGCACGCATACGGCTTTTCCCCTGTGTGAGTGCGCATGTGTGTCTTGAGATTACCGGAGGTCCTACACCTGTATTCACATATATCGCACGCAAATGGCTTCTCACCAGTGTGAGTGCGCATGTGTGACTTGAGACTACTGGCCGACTTATATCTGCATTTACAAGTGTCGCATGCAAATTGCCTCTCTCCCGTGTGAGTGCGCATGTGCATCTTAAGATGACTCGGTTGAGTGGCCTTGAATCGGCACATACAACAGAAATAAGGCTTTTCTTCTTCCGTGTGAGTGCGCATGTGTGACTTCAGATTACCGGCGGTCCTACACCTGTATTCACATGCGGCACACGCAAATGGCTTCTTTCCTTTGTGAGTGAACATGTGTCTCCTAAGATAACGTAGCTTGGAGCTGGCGTATCCACACACACCACACACGTAGGACTTTTCTCCTCCAGGGCGTGGCATATCTGAAGGAGAAGGCTCCATCAGAGAGATCGAAGGTGCTTAGTTCTGCGTCATTTCGAGCTCTTGCTAACACTCTCCTGCTGGGAAAAAGATGTCAAAATAAATATCACCATTGATGCACTGCAGCACTGCATGTCACTGCCCCAGACGTAACAAGGTATGCTACGAAGATGGGGTCACAGCTACAAACGTACCAGTGGTGACCTCGCCAAATTTAACAATACACATGGGTAGAAATGAACTTTTGAACAAGCATGTCCCACAGACTCCTTACCCTCAAAACGAGGGAGTCCGAAACAAAATGAGGGAGTCCGCAGTCTAAAGTTCAAAACTAAAGATATTAACCAAAAGGACATTTGCGGTGCACGTTGGCCAAATTTTCTAGGGACATTTTTCTAAAAACAAGTGCCACAGTGCGACAGGGCTCATCTGGTGTCTGGTGTTCTGCTGATAAATTCATTTGTGCATAGCAAGGCGTCTTATACATAAGTCTTCTTTATTCTTGTTTGACTTTCGTAGCCAATTGGAACAAATATATCAGCTACACTTTCAAGATCACTGAAGGTCTTACCCTTGTATTCACATTTGTCACATGGAAATGGTCTCTCTACCATGTGACTGTGCATGTGTCGCGTGAGGTCACTGGACGACTTATATCTGCATTCACATATATCGCACGCATGTGGCCTCTCTCCTGTGTGAGTGCGCTTGTGCACCTTCAGAATATCGAGGGTAATATATCTGTGTTGACATATATCGCACGCATACGGCTTCTCTCCCGTGTGAGTGTGCATGTGTTTCTTGAGATCACTGAAGGTCTTACCCTTGTATTCACATTTGTCACATGGAAATGGTCTCTCTACCATGTGACTGCGCATGTGTCGCGTGAGTTCACTAGACGACTTATATCTACACTCACATATATCGCACGCATATGGCCTCTCTCCCGTGTGAGTGCGCGCGTGAACCTTCAGAATATAGGGGGTAGTACATCTGTGTTCACATATATTGCACGCATATGGCTTCTCTCCCGTGTGAGTGCGCATGTGTGTCTTGAGATTAAAGGAGGTCCTACACCTGTATGCACATGTGTCGCACGCATACGGCTTCTCTCCTGTGTGAGTGTGCATGTGTTTCTTGAGATCACTGAAGGTCTTACCCTTGTATTCACATTTGTCACATGGAAATGGACTCTCTACCATGTGAATGCGCATGTGTCGCGTAAGTTCACTGGACGACTTATATTTGCATTCACATATATCGCACGCATATGGCCTCTCTTCCGTGTGAGTGCGCTTGTGCACCTTCAGACTATCGAGGGTAGTATATCTGTGTTCACATATATCGCACGCATACGGTTTCTCTCCCGTGTGAGTGCGCATGTGTTTCTTGAGATCACTGAAGGTCTTACCCTTGTATTCACATTTGTCACATGGAAATGG